AATAGAGCTCAATGATTATGCAAATCTTCCAGTACCTAATGAAGCATTGAACCAAAACAAAAAACTATTCGTTGTAGTATGGATGTACCATTTGTGGTTTTTCAAGTATTATTATAAAACGTTTTATTATGATGCACAAATATTTAACAAGGGTTCTTCATCTCTACTTTCTGTCAAAAATACTATACTTTTGTGTCCTCCGGTATGTATCAAGAATTTTCTTTTGACTTGAAAAGCCTCATTGGAAAAGACCATTAACAAATGTTTGTGTTCAACAGAAAAGCAGAATATTAATTCAGGATCACAACGGTAAGCACGTGTTGATTGGAGTTTCTGGTACAAACGGAAAGATTTTTACAAAAATCTCATCCCGAGTCGATTGGATAAAGAAGGTAATAAATGAGCCCAATGTCCAAGGAATCAATGCCACAGTCATAGAAAACTCAAATTCAGTGAATAATGCAGCAACACAAGAAATAAATTCTACAGTCATATTAGAAAGCTCAAATTCAGTGAATATTACTTCAAAAAAAATCAATGCTACAGTCGCAGAAAGAATAAATTCAGTAAATTTACCACAAGAAATAATTATTACAGTTACAGAAAATCTAAATTCAGTGAAAATAACAACAGAAGAAATCAATGCTCTAGTCGCAGAAAAAACAAGTTCAGTAAATTCAACACAAGAAATCAATATAGTCGTCACTGAAAGCCTTAGGTCTGATAACACAACAGTACAGGAAATCAATAGAACAATTGTAGAGAAACCGAAGTCACTCAATATAATAACGCAATACAGCAGTACTCAAGGACAAGATAATAGCCATGGAGTAACGGAAAATCTAAAGCCACTGAATATTGGCACTGTTATTCTGATTATAGTGCTTATGGGGTTTATAGTGATTATTATTACGTTAGCAATTAGTAAGCGAAGAAAACATAGCAGACCCATGACTTATAAAGTCAATGTTATTCATAGCTCTTCTTCGACTTGACCCTATGACGCTGTCTCGTATCAGCAAAATTGCGTCATGACTTTATTTTATGTCTTGTTACTCATTGGTAGTGAATTTGAAAATGAGTATGAGAAATAAAAATTTTGTGAACTTTTTTATATTTTTTACAGTAGCTTGAAGTATTTTTTCTGATTATGTGACCATCTTTTCACAGAAGCCGAGCATTTTACAAACTATAAATACTAAAAGTATCATGATGCAAACATTTTATTGATTTGCAACCATGAATTGTGATAAAAAAATCTTAGATTCAATGAATCACAGATATAATTTCGATTCCAATGTACTGAATTAGAAAATTCAGTAACGATGTACTCTATGTAAATCTAATTAATAAATGCTTAAGAAATCAATTTCGATTCCTAAAACTGTCAATTTATTTATAAAACATTGTAATAAATCGATCACCTTCTTAAAATACATGTTAGACAATTTCATCGTTAAAATACGTACGATATAAATATTGAATAAAAAAAACTGTGCTCAGTAGAGAATTTTGAACTGTTTAAATCCTCAAAAGTAATGCAAATTCAAATTTCCTGTTTAGCCACCAATAATCCTACAATCCTAGGCTCGTAACAAATCAACATATAAAACGTATGATACGTAATACTTGAGAATATACTATATTCTAAAGAAATAAAAAAAAACTCATTTATTACCATCAACTGTACGATACCAACTAATTCATCCAATCAAAAATTGTACATAAAGCAAGAAAACCAATTCTGTCCATGAAAGATTGACCATGGAAATAAATTTTTTTTATGATTTTCCGTAGCTAACATAACATATGGATAGTGACGTCAAACGGAGAGGGTGAAGAGCGTCCTTTTGACGACTACAGGAGAATTCCATACTCAAATATATATAAGCTAGTAACAGCCTTGAACAATAGACAAGTCATTGACGTACTCGTTGGGATTTGACGTGAATAGCGGAGGAAAAAAAACATGTAATATCAATGAAGTGGAGGACGGAAAAAAGGGCTCTGTATCGAGAGCTCGTCGGACTTGGGTTAATGATTGAGTCATCCCGTGCGTTCTTTGTTACTTGTATTTTTTACATCTATTTTCTTTGATACGCGTATCTCATGCAGCCCATACCCCGTACATCGTACTTTTTCCATCTGTCGGTGAAGGACGATTCCTCAGTTGTTGATACAAAAAGCTTCTTTCGCAGTGTCCACGCATTTTTCCAAGATTGATTCTGCCTCGCTTTTTCTCGATGTTCTTACCAGCATTGATTTGCCATTCACGCGAGGGCTGATTCACTGAGAAAATATCGTGTTTTCGACCGAAAGGGAAACGAATTGCGTATCTTGTAAATCAAAATACATTTCTTCATAATTTATATTATGACACTTGCCAAGTCTCCGGGGACCGCTTTTCATACGAAGAGCTGCGCATTTTAAGTCACTCCAAGCCCCTTGAAGTATTGTAGCATTCACAGACCTCTTATCTTGCGGAAGTAAGTTGAAAACCAACTCATCACAATAGTCACGAATGCACGAATCAACACTGTGAAGGAATTTTCTGTTCCCCAGCCCATTGTACTAAAAATACTCCCTTTGCAGCCAAAAACAATGGGCCAGTACCGATTCATCGATCGGCAATTAAATATCAAAAACACTCGAGCCAGCCAGACCGGGGAGGGAACGACGACTGGAATAACCAGTGAGCCATCTCGGGCTCGCCCGCTGCGCTCAATGGCACAATTAAAATAACCCGGAAGCCGATGGACTCCTCCGCCAAATCGCCGATCCGAATGCAACGCACCCTCATCCTCCCGTCCCACCCCATCCCACTCGCGCTCACCTGAATTTATCGTCACCGCGGCTCGTGTCATTGTTGTAAATTAGCTTCGCTACAATGAGGCACTCGCCGCTGGGAGGAGGACTCCGCAACGCCAGGGCGCGACGTCGTTTATCATTCGTCACAATGGCCGAGCCGCGGAAAATGTATCGGAATAAATCGTTAAGCTCCATGCTCTTTGGGTACACGCGCACTAACCCATATATACATATACCTCCTCCACTTTGTATTACCGTCCCTTGTCCGTACTTCTTTTGTATACCCTTCTCTTTTTTACTTGCCGTACTCTCTATTTTCTTTTTAGTTTCATGGACGCTTTTGTCGCGTGTCTTTTCCAAATGATGATATCCTCGTCGAGCCAATTTACAAGGTATCAATGATATCCGCGTTTTGCATCCCTAGTGCTGTTCGCATTACATCGCGAGTTCCATTTTGGCAAACAGGTCATGCGTTTCGGAACATATACGCTGACCCGACAAAAGCGACACACAAAGGTGGCAACGGTTAATCTTAATTGAGCAGCACATAAACGATAGACGGTTGTTCAAGCCGCGCTTGAATGGATGTGTTGCCCATATTCGGAGCCGGACAGCGTTAAATTCATGCAAAGCGACTGCTCGTGGGTGGTATCCACTTAAGGAGCCGTTGTATCATTGCGCACTCGTGGTTTGCCGTTGGACAGCAAAAACAGGTTAATTTACGGCCAAGTTAAAATTTGCGTTTCTCCAAATGCCCGTTACATATCTCTCGTACGAGTACGCGTCGTGCATAATCAACGGTGTAAAACTAAGCGCGTCATTTGCACGAGTGGCGTATACAATATAGGTCTCAAACTTTGGGCAAACTCTTATTTTTGTCGTAAAAATTGTGGAGATGGAAAAAAAATCAGATGCAGTTGTTACCGTGGTAAGACTACCATAATCTTTGCTAATTGGCAGATAGAGAGCCGCCAAAAGGGTCTCAACTATTCATACTTTCATGAATTTTCATCGCGCTCGAACACTTCATTGGCCGTTACTTTGCCGCATCGTTGTTTTTCGCGTCCAATCACTTAGACTGGATTTTCGCAGCTCCCGAAAACATTCATTTTTTTCGTCTCCGCCAGTATACAAACTCACTCATGCATGTAACGTGTCACGACTTGGCTGCTGCGGAGCAAAAGTATAGTTTTGTGGGGCGCAGTGATTTGTCGCGTTGGGCTCGCGAGAAAATGGCTAGCCAACGTGGAGGAACGGGATGCTGCTGAATATTGATTTTTAGACGTTCGAGTGGATGTGGACGGCTGGGGATGCAGGCGTTCATTATTATTCTGGTCTGAGTAAGGTCAGGGGGATCAGATGCAATAATTATTGATGAGGAGTTATTTTCATGGAATGTACTGGTTCATGACCAAGTGAAAAGGTTTATTTCTGGGGTAACGATTTGCTTTCTACGTATAGCTTGAAAACTTAATAATATTTTAGGGTGATAAAATATTGGTAAACTAGAGGTATTAAACTATGTATAATTTATAACGATTAATCGAACAATTCGGCTTTTTTTTTTTTTCTTTTTTTTTTTCGAAATCAATTACGAAAATTGACGTTAGAAATGGAAAGGGGCGCATTTCGATGCTCCTCATAACATTTGTGTCCAACGTTTTCTTTGAAGCACATCCTACACCTGAATTTAGGTTCGTGGTAGGGTATACTTTGGCAGTATTAAAAATAAAAAATAAAAAAGAAACTCTTGGGATACGCTCTGACGAAAAAAAAAATCCACAAAACCTCGAGATGAGTATCTCACGGGCTGAGGAATTGTCACTGAGCTATACAAACATTATCACAGGTAAACACTGAATTTTGTATGAATTTCAAAATCTCAATCGAAAAATCTCGCCTCCCTGCCAACTCGCAACTCCAGCGTAGGTACATACCATTGAAACAATTCTAAAAAAAATTTTAATTCTCACGTAGTATTTAACAACGAATATTCTCAACCTGTAGGTATAAATATATACCAATGAAACAATATTACACAAAATTTCAATTGTCACGTAGTATTTAAGAAGAAATATACTCGACCAAATAATGAATTGCTCAATAAATACCCAGCAAAGACCCGAAAAATCTCCAAGCATTCAACGAAATTGTAACGAGTACAAATGTGCGCGTGTAATTGATGATTTCAGCTGTCGGAGGACCTCGGCTACGTACTCTACTCCGCCCTGGGCAGCTTCTACATCCCATCGTGCATCATGGTCTTCGTGTACATACGCATATATTACGAGGCGAAGGCGCGCGCCCGTCGTGGGATACGGAAGAAGTACAGGCCACGGCCCGCGGCTCCGGCGCCCGCGTCGCCCAACATCCGGCAGACGAGCTTCACGCACACGACCAGCAGCATCGGATCGGGTTCAGCTGACAACAAGCAGGGCTCAGCGCCCGCGGAGAACGTCGCCACCATCGAGAGCCAACCCGTCCAGATACCCATTGTTACCTGCGACCTAGCGAGCGACGTCAGCACCTCGGAGGCTGATCCTGCGACTGGCAACATACCCATGGATGAGAAGGAAACGCTTAAGGTGGGCATCATGGCTTTTTTTCTATATGATCGGACTTTTCTTTCTTTTTTTTTCTCTCCTTCGTTTGTTCATTCATGCGATTTCGTAGGCTTACGTTGATCGCAATGAGAGTGAAAAATTTATTTTTTACAAAAAATGTCGATGCGATTTTACACAACATTTTTTTTCACCTTCCAAGTGAGTATTCTGCTAGAGTAACCATCGCTTGATTGAGTGGCAAAAGTTTTTGACAATTCCATTAGATAACAAAGCCACCCATGCAGCCCAAAAGTAAAAATTCATTCTTACTTTCACATGTCGAATTGATTCAGCTTGTTGAATCGTTAAATCATGAAAGCTCCGTATGCAGCTTGTACATTTTTGTTTTAACCGTGCATCAATGATTAAATTTTCCAAACAATCAAACTGCAGAATAATTAAATAAAATTTTCAGAGGATCGTAATCCTTACATCAGCTTCCATTAATGTACGTTTCTCTTCTCTGGTACAACGAGCCTTTAAGGTATGAGTATCTCTAGAAAAAGTGGCTGTTTGAAAATAATGGAGCATTGGAATTTTCGGAATATTAAAGCTTAGAGATAATAGCAAGCTCTGCTTTATTACTTGCCCTTTAATATTTACAAAGTTGGAAAAAAAATATAAATATATATGAATCGAGAAACATCACTAATTATTATAACCAGCAACCGCGAACTACGTCTCATTATAAGGTGGTAGTACTAGTTTCACAATTGCAATGTATAGAATTTTTTCTGGGGTGCACGATAATTTAGGAAATTTACTCAATAACCTTGAAAATTTCAACGAAATGTAATAATCCCTGTTTTAATTAAAACCATTTCGTTAGTAATAAGACCGGTAACCCCCGAAAAGTCAAAGCTGTTCCAACGTACCCCCCCAAGAAAAAGCCCAGAACCATAAAATCCAGTCCAAAACCGTTCTGCTGGCATCCTCGTCTTTTCCCCAATACACAAGCAAGACCCACACCGGTACCCATACTCACCCAACCCTCCCTTTTCACCTCGCACGTGCAGCAGCGTCCGCAAGCCATTCAACCAGCACAAGTAGCTGGCGAGGTCAAGCTTTTACGGCCACTTAGGGCGCAAACTTGTTATTAGGCTCGTAAAAAACAGATACGCGCTTTCAACGACTGACCCCTCCCTGCGAGCTTATTACGAGTACAACCCCGAGAGCTTGTAAATACGCACACGCCACACTCAAACGCGTCGTTTCAGAATTTTACGAGCCTCGGGAGCACGATGATTAGCATCGCCGGTCCGTCACCTTTTTTCGCTGCTTATCCACCTGTACCACCTAAAAGTATACCGCGCCTCCCTGCCAGAATTTTTCCCAGGGCTTATCTTTCGACTTACTTTTTCGAGCGCAACTTTTTTTCCCCCTCGTTACGCGCCCGCGCTCGAAATATCCAATTGAAGTTTTAACTGGATGCGCTCAAAGTTTCGGGAGATCGTTTATCTTTCGCCGAGGGTCCGCGTGGTTGAGACTGTTTTGCATGGTCTCGTCGGATCGTACGTAATTTTTTTCTCTTTCCATCGATTAAGTTATAATTCCCGCAACATCCAATGGTCCTAGAGAGTTGGCCGGGAAGTTTTTAACGAATACCCTCAAAATTCGCCGTAGCAGTGACCACCACTCGCTCGGATGAAGGTTATACGCACGGCGTGCTCGTGTATGCTTGCATTATGCACGCGTCTGACCATAATTTACCTCTACTACTTGTTTCGCTCTGGACCGCTGGGTTTAACGTACACGCCCCAGCGTCCGCCTGTGATTATTAATTCAACTCACTACTCCCACTTTGTGTACCGTTATTATTGTACCGCGCGTCTGTCCATCTCGACACTTTAAATTAAATACACAAGCGCATTCGAGTGCCACAAACACGTGACACTTTACGAAATTCTGACGAGTGGGTGAAAAAAAAGTACTGGAAGCACTCGAAATCGCGCTCGTGCACGGGAAACCGGACGAAAGCTCTCAAAGCACTCAGAGCACCCTCCTCCCGAAAGCACCTCCCTGGGTCCGTATCAAAGAGCCGTATACACATGCATATTCAGTGCCCCCTCGGCGCGCCCGATTATTCGCGTCTTTTCAACTTTCAATAAGCTCTAAAAATTGGTACAACGAACCTACGATCGTTATTGAAAGCAGCGTCATTTTCATTGGCTCCGAGCGCTGGGCCTTGGGCAAAAATATCACTTTGACACACCACACTTTGCTTTCCCGATGAATCGACCATTTCGAAATTTTTCCAATGAAACGGTGCTTATCCTGCATTCCCCAGCTGCGACTATTTTAAAATGCACGAACAACGCCCTACCGCGACGAAATCAACAACAGCCGTGTACACTGGTGCGTCTAGTTACATTGAATTTCCACGTACGTGCGCTCGTTTGTTCAAACAGAGATTAGAAAGTCATTCATGGGTGAATTACAGAGAAGGAGCCGAAAGAGGGGCTGGTGGGGTGAGGGCTCGCGATCCTATCCGCAAATTAAAATAAGCATCTGATAATGCGAGATCGCATCTGCGAAACAGCTTAATGACTACTTCAGCGGGAACCAGCACGAGTGCTCGGCTCGAATTTCCTGCGGGCGATCTCCGATTTTTATTAGAGATAGGCGGCCTCGTAAACAGAGGTCGCGTGCCTGGCCGAGCAGCGCTGCATATATACGGACGCTCGCACCGACTTACATACATAAGCCATAGCGGCGAAAACTGAGGGCTTTTTTTTCCATCCGTGTCCTGCCTCTTTGACTCCTCGAGTCTCGCTTGTGTTCGCGAGATGGTGGGAGAGGAGGAATGATGAGAAGAGCGGGCCAAATGGAATCCATTAGATTTTAGTCGACAATCCCATTATCTGTAATGGGATCGTCGAGTACTAGGTGCAGACCTAATTACCAACTGCTCCCTCTCTCTCTCTTTTACACCGCTTTCTTCGGCCCGTCTTTATTATCATCTGCCTCCAGACTACATCTTTCGGTGTATATAGGTAGTTCGTCCCTCGTTTATCAGGTTACTCTCATTTTTCGCGCATCACAACTTACCGAGAAGACCTTGCAAATCACAGTATCGGCCTTTCTATTTTTTTTTTTCTTTTTTTTCTGACAAACGAGAGAAATTACTGCTTGTTTCCCTCCACGTGCAGGTTAGCTGTTAATCCGCCTGGTTTGACAATTACTTCAGAAACGAGTGCACGAATTTACGTTAGAAACTTTTCGTCGCATTTCAAGGATGCATTACAATGATATTCTTCTTCCGTGGATTGTTGGAGCTGATCTCTCGTTGAAAAAAAAAGATCATAGTCCGGGACACGCTTTAAAAGTCTCTATAATATTTCAAAGTCATCGGAGGCTTTCGGCGACTTGAAAGTTTCCCAAAGTCTTTCAAATCCTTTTGCCCTTTTTTATCGAGTAAAGCGTCTCGCTCGGATCACTGGAGGATAAATACCGTTGCGTTGAACCGAATGATTATTTGTAAATTCGTAGCTTATTTTTGGTAGCGCAAGCTCTGTAAGAATGCCCCGATCGCTTTGATTGCAGGTGACGATGCCGTTGTCGATGCCCAAGTCGATCCTAAAGAGCTCGTTGTCGGTGAACGGTGGCGAGGGCGCGTCAACCGGGATGCCGGCACGCTGCCGGGCTCCGAGCGTCGGCATCGACGTCGACATGATCTCGGAGTTGGACCCCTCGTCCTCGGACAGCGGCGTGGTGTCCCGTTGCGCGGTGGTCAAGCCGCTGAAGCTGCGCTTCTGCAAGCCGATCTTTGGGCGCAAGGCGCTCGACAAGATGCGCCAGCAGGAGCAGCACCACCACAATCAGCACGTGCAGTTCGACCAGAAGGAGGTGGAGGCAAAGTCCCAGAAGCCGAGGGACCCGGAGCGCGAGAAGCGCCGGCTAGCGAAGAAGAAGGAAAAGAGGGCGACCCTCATACTCGGCCTCATCATGGGCAGCTTCATAGCTTGCTGGCTGCCCTTTTTCTTCCTCTACATCATGAAGCCGCTCTTCCCGGACCTCGAGATACCCGAGCAGGCCTTCGCCGTCGCCTTTTGGCTCGGATACATGAACTCGGCCCTCAACCCCGTCATCTACACCGTATTCAACAAGGACTTTCGCAGGGCCTTTCGGAGGATACTCTTCAAATAGCCAAGCTATTAACTGGCATTCGCTCGCTGGCTATGGATTATCGCTGTGGCCCTTCTGGGATGCTACACTGCAGGTAAGGACTTTCTACTCTATATTCATTGAGTTTAGTTTTTTCAGGGATAATTGGGGGTAGTACTTGGTTACGTCTGCGTTACTCGAGTGAATAAAACAGTGGATTTTTTGAGCAAATGATTCATCGTGGTGTTTCTTTTTGTACTCGATACTTTTCAGGTTTCCGCCAACGTGTTTGCTCGAAAAACCACTCAATGCCTTTCGAGTAAAAAAAAATCGATTTCTTGGAACGTCAAAGCAAATCAGTACCAAATCACGTAATAATGTCCTTTATTCACACCTCCCCAACTCCACGGCTATCTCTTACTTTCGCTTTTTCGAACTCTTCTCTGTCAGACCCTTGCAACTAAGAAAAATTTTCTACCACCGATTGGGTTCTCATGCCCTGAAGGCCGAGAGAATTTTTTTTTTTTCGGCTAATCATTGGCGGGGTTATTCTGAAAAGTTGCCGTGTTGTAGGAACACAATGCCGAAGCACTCGAAATCCATCAGCTAGAAACTGGAATTTTTATGCGGCGTTGGGCTATATTTTTCTGTACTTTTTCTATGTATAGAGATTGCACTGAGATATTTTTGAAACGCATGTATTTTGCTATGACGAAGAAATCTCGTAATTGTTGATAAACACGAGCTGATTATATTCCCAAGATGATTTTGTTGAACATTGAATTTTTCGATAACTTGTGAAATTTAAAAAAAAATCAAAGTTTTCAAACACAGTACGTACATTACGAAAAGTTGTATTTTCCGTGAGCTTATAATTTTTCATAAAGCTCAAAGGAGATTTAACCATCAAAAGTAATTGATCCGACGAGCAAAGACAACAATACCTAACAATGCGCCATTGTGCGGTATTCTTGGATAATCGATCGACCCCGATAAATAATTACACTGTTCTTCGATAATTGGATCATAACCAACGCGTCACTTTATAATTACAAAATGTAATAATTTTATCACAGGATACAGCTTCTGATCTTCCAATCAATTTTATCACTGTTACAGACCCAAATCCCTCGAGGGGCGAGAAAAGCCGCAGGTATGAAATACGCAAACAGTGGACTCCAGTCGGACCCTCCGTAGGACAAATGTGTCAAGATGAAAAAAAAAAAAAAAAAAACATTCAACCAGCTCAAAGGGGGAAGAACGAAACCAGAGGTTTCAATCACCAAGCACCAAGAGTCACTCAGACGAGTACGTACATGTACGCGCGAATGGAAGCAATTGCACAGTCAAAAAAAAAAAAAAAAAAAAAAAAAAAAAAAAAAAAAAAAAAAAAAAAAAAAAAAAAAGAAAGAGACGCGTGCGCACATGTTCGATGGTTCGCACCGCGAATGTGAAGAGCTGTCCGACGTTTTTTCTCGGGGAAATATAAAAAAGGGAAAACTGCTCGCTTCTCTTTCTGAATGTGCATGTATATACGTAGACGCGCGCTGACGAATATCAGAGAGAGGTGCCTATCCGGGAAATGTGGATGAAAAAAGCAAAACAATGGGAAAAAAAAGAAAAGAGGACGATGGCAATCGACGATGAGAGAACGGATGGGGAAAAAAAGAGAGAAAAGGGGCTGACGGTGCCTTTGTCTTTGGAACCGAGCGAGAGAGCAGCCGGTCGAACTGAAGGGAGAGGGAATTTTCTGTGTTCCACTACTCTTTTTTTTTTTTTTTTTTTTTTTCACGGACCAAGGAAAAGTTGCTTGTTCCTAGCCAAGGTGTTCGCAGACTGTCTCCCATTCGTCTGCATCTGCCGAGAAATGACAATTATGATTCCGCGAAACGTACTGGGAAAGAGTTGGGGAGTAGTGAAGTTGATCCTTCGCGAGCGACCTTCGAAGCACATCGAAATCCGTATTGTTTAAGCCCTTTGCGTAATATTCATGTGTAAATAAATCGAGCGTGACAAAGTATGTTGTTTTTTTTTAATCGTCGTATTGTTCGAACAGCCGATGAGATTTCTTCCAGAGGATATTGGATACGATCGACGAGTTGAAAAATTCATGAATTACTTTTTGAATGGGTATTAGAGCTAGTTGATAGTTATGGTAGTAAAAATCAATAAATGTTGAACGAAAAAGAAAAAAAGTAGTAACAAGTGCTCGAGTGAGTGCTTTGCAAATACTCTGGACCAATCCTAGATTACGATTACGTGTGTGAGTACTCACATATTTACGCCTTTCGACGGGTCGAGCGCGTGTTCGTTGTGAAAGAAATGAACGAAATAGTAAATTAAAGAGTTGTACAAATGAATACAGGTGGCAAGGGCGAGATCGTTTTGAGGAGTATCACAAACTTCAAAGGCCCGCTATTTTATCAAATAATCCGGTAGAAATCGACTTTCAATACCAATTAAAAACAAAAACAACGAAATTTCAGGAAATTTCTTGCATCGCATTCAATGTACATCTTCCCAAGTAAAGTAGAAAAAAAAAGCGAGTTCCTTTGTAAAAAAAAATCAGTAAATATTGACAGTTTCCTTGGTTGACCTTCGCACTCAAAGAGCCAAGACTCGACGGCCGAAAGACGTTCGGTGGGAAGAGGGAGCTAAACAAGGACCACGAGGGAGGGCAGAAAAGAGAGAAAGCCTGAATATTCATGCAATCGTCTGGTGACGATGAATATTTATGCCTTCCCGCCTCTCGATTCTCTCTCCGGAAGATCGGGTGTGATGTAACCGTCCTCGGCTCCTCTCAACCCCTCTTCCCTTCGATCATCTCGACAATTTCACGCACCGTAAACTCATTGTTTACGTGAAAATGTAGGCAATAGGGCTTTAGTAAGAGATGCTGATGAAGTAAGAGTTTTTTTTTTAATCGAAGACTACTGACATATGGAAATGAATACGATCACATGATTTCTAGTAGTATAGGCCTAGATTTGGTCAGACCTGCCACGATTAGTTACAAACAATGTTGAAACATTGCCGCAATGCCTCGCGTTCAAAAACATCATGAAGATCGGTATCACAATCTTAGCAAGTATAATTTCCCACTGCGTATTTTGTATCAACCAAAACATAAATATTATTTATTCTATAGAAAATCTTATATCCCATAGAAATTCATGACAGTTTAAAATCATCCAAAGTTTCCGCTTTAGAATACCAAAAGAACCACACCGAGTAATCGTAAAAGGAAAAGTTTTCTTTCTCCGACTCTCATGTCAAACATATTACTCCATGAACGCATAAGGATGGCAACTCTTTAAAACGGTAGTGAGAGTCCTTTGACCCCAGCCGCGCAAACAATGAGCGGAGTCATCTGTCCCCACGTTCAAGTGGCCACTTCAGAAGCATGCATTATAGACTCAAGGGTGCGAGGGATCTCGCCTCTGAGCTTCCAATCTTCCAAGGATCTCTTTCCCGCAGATCCCCCTCGAAAGTCTTTTCCTCTCGCTTGTACAGTTCGAGTTTTTCTGGGTGCTCCTTTTTATCCCTTCCGTGAAACTGGAACGTCAATTACTTAAGCTTTTGTTCGAGTAAGGTATAGCTGTCTCGATTTTATTAAAAAAGTTTTTTTTTACAAATAGATTGGACATTGCATGGACGGATTTTCCTTTTCAAAAGTTGCACACTTCTTTTGGCGTAACGAATAAAGTAATTGACGTTTCGGATCATCTCGTACGTCTTGAGTGGAATTTTTACTCACACAAGAAGCTTTGCTACCATCTTTATTAATATACAGAGTAAGGTTACATTGAATCACCTGACACATTAAATTTTAATTAAGGAATGAAAATCAAAGTTGTTGGAAGAATAATAACTCACGTCACTAGGACGTGTACTACTACGTCTCATACACAAAATATGACAATCCGCTCCAATTTGTATATTATATAAAAATGCTAAAAAAAAAAAAAAAAAAAGAGAGAAAGAGAAAATCGAGGTTTCAAAGCTTAGCAAAGAAAAAGAGAGTTTTAAGTCACATATATATCACGTGTAATCTAAAAGTCGCTGACAAATAAGAACAAAACAAGTTTCCTACAAGGTAATGTTAAGGTAATGTTAATGAGCGAGTGCGTGTCGACTAGCAAAAAAAGATTATCATTGGATGAAACGATAAATTTATGGAATGTATATGAATGTATAAAATCCGTGTAAATGCAGTACTTTTATCGATAAAATATTAAAAATCCCATGATATATTGTAGTATGTTATAAAAATCAAAAATTTTAATATTATGATTCATAGAGATTAAGGTGAACTATCGTATTGAAAACAAATTCGTTATAGAGCATAGTAGTAATAAAGATAAAATTTTAATGTCGCAGACACATCGAGATCTTACGTGTATACATTTATATTATAACCGCACGTAACGCGTTACTTTCTTTTTACAAAATAACCGTATTGTAGATTCTTAGGATTTTTTGAGTATAGGTTAGCTTTTGCCAAGCGAATTCACAAAGATATGCATCGATCCAGCACTGACAGCATGTAAATGCAGTTTTTCTTGACAGCAGACCTCTGAATCAGACCATAGACGAAATGCCATAAAAGTCAGTAAGTTAGAGAATACGTTTACGTGCAAAAAAATATTCGTATAGAGAAACACAAGTATGCTTTTAAATATAAAAATCGTCCAATAAGTATGATAAAAGTTTTTTAAATTACACAATGAGGGTTGGTAAGATCTGTAGACGTGATCCCGTTGGTCGGTGTAATATATTTGTGAAATTCCAGCTTTGCCATGCAATAATAAAATTTTTGAAAAAGAAATAAACAGGTATTAAGGTAAATATAATGATAAAATCAAACGTAACGAATAAGCAAACATAGAAAAGTTTGCAAATTTAAGATGTACAAAAATTTTAAAATAATTAATCGACAAACTTACGCAATTACGGAGTTTCACTCGAACGATAAAGTGCAATTTTCAATAATAGTCTGATGTAAGGTGTCCTATACTCATATTTATCAATGTATTATATTCTCAACGAATCAAAAGAGAGCTAGATTATGTGTGTG